ATGTTTTTGGTTGTCAAAAGTAACGCTCTTTATAAGCAGGGGCACAGGATTTAACCTGCCTGGCTTTATTAGCTATCGAGCTATTCCGCTAATGGTTATCGCTATTTCCAAACGATGTGCAGGTTTGGTACCTCCCCCCTATTGTTTCGAGAGCTTCTGTCATTATTTGCCCGTTTGCTGGATCTGATGGTGACAGCCTGACTGGTAATAACTGGCGAACACTTATCAAGTTGGGGGGGGGGGGTTCTTTTGTCATCCGTTCCCGAAATTTTTCGCCTCTACCAGCCAGCCGGTCACTCATCCCACTACTCTACAAGCCACAGAAACAACTGCTTCCAGTCTGACAATGCCAACTCTTCACATTCAGTTTACTGATTGAGTCAACTGAATTCGATGTTCACCGTTTGTCAAACAAATCTAAAATGTCATCCTCCGAAGTGCAACTCCGTTTTACGATCTAATATTTTTTCATCGTCAACTAACTGATATGTATTACACCTATTGCTTTTCACCTGCTCCCTTGTCACCGTCATGCCGCCTTCCCTCTTATGCAGAGCTTCGTGAGCCCACGTATCCCCTTCGTGCACCTGGACATTGCGGGGGTGATGAAAACCGTCGGCGATGACCCCGGCATGCGTCGAGGTATGACAGGTGGGTCTGCGTTCTTTCATTTATTCCCCTATTCAAGGCTCGCCTCGAGATGCCGGTCTTGAGGAGTTTTGTTTTATTTTCCATACTTTGCAACATGACGTTGCATGCTTCGAGGGCACTTCGTACAAATTCGTTCCCGCAAGAACTCCCATTAGTGGGATCAGGTTTCGTATTTCAAAAACCCTTTTTTCTTGTGAATATATTCTACTCGAAGGTCTGATCTCGACACCTAGCCTCAGCAGTTTGCAGCTCAATTTGGGTATTTGTGGTACTCATGAATTGGATATTTGAATGAGAGCTTTTTTTGCCTCTTGAAAGTACTAGAAACCGTGAGAAACTTTACACGAGCAAAGTACGGAAAGATAGTTTTTAAAAATATGCTTAAACGAGATACTAAGGCACGGCGTCATTAAAATATCGCCTACTCGGTCTCGGTTCTAAGGCTTACCCTGTTGTATCCCAAAACAAGGTATTACACAAGATCTAGGCTGTCAAGAACGTGGCTTTTGACGACTGTATGAGGCGTTTTCCGCCATTTAGTTCGAGGTTTTATGTGTGAAGTTTTTAGTCTTAACAGCGTCACTACTGGGGCTCTGTCTCTTGTCATATTGGTCCTCTTATTGAAACTCGAGTTTTGTGTTTTATAGGATAAAAATTTGAGACGGTAGAACTTTTGAAAATGTCGAAAGTTTGAGATCTGGGCCAAAGGATCTCGATCTTTTACTAAAGGAGGTCACAGATGGCATTTTCAAGACCATGTGTACTTATTTACATAGTTTTTCTAAGTAAACATTGAGTCTATGATTTCTAGTAAAGGATTCCTTTTTGTATTCAAAACGTACGAGTTCGTGAGGCCATGGGCAGCGTAGTTTTCCTGTTCCAACTTGCTGGTAAGGCGACATCCATAAAATTTGTGTTCAGTGATAATTGAGTGAGGTGCTATAAACAACTCTCAAGGTTGCCTGACCTCTGATATTGTGTGGTGGCGGTGGTTGGTTTGTTTCGTTAATTATTTGATGAGCGTCGAAAAATCGCGGATTTGTTAGCTTTGAAACTGTAGTGAATATTTACCATCAATCTGCTTTGCTACATTGGTTATGCGCTGCAGAAATGCCATGACATTTCCGGTTTTTATCTTGGTTTCACTGGAGTTCTCCTCGGGAATGTCCGTGAGTATACCAGTCTGGGGCAGCTTTATCATCAAAGCACGGAAGTACTGAGAGGGTAGCTTGAGTTGGGCTCCGTGTCATTGCCATGGAAGGCGAATCGTGGAAGTTTCTACCATCAAAGTAGACCAAAATTCCAACGACTTTTTTGCTTTCCAAGTTAAAAACAATGGAACAGGAGTGGATATTTCGAAATGTGCGGATTCTGTTACTGTGCTAAGGTATCAGGTACGGGTTTGAACTGAGAACGAAATCGTACGCCTTTTGCACCATTCTCTGACACAGTTGGCGGGTTCATCAATTTCTGTATTCTTTGACTTCTTCTAGGGCGACCTACTCGCCCCCTTATCCACTTCTTCGATCGACTTGCGCGCTACGGGAGTACCAAGGCGAGTGACGAGGACGAAGACGTCTGAATAGGTTGGGTATTTTACCTCCCTCCTTGCTCCATCCACATTGCCTTCCTTTGGGATAATCAACTTTTACATAGTTGTCATTTTCTGTGTGTTCAGTGTAAGCTTGACTTCTCAGGAATGTGAAGACATTTGAGCGTGAGACTTTTACCTCTGTGATAAGTCTCTTCCTCTTGATGTTTGGTTTGTAAAGCCGATTACGTTTCAGTTGAGCATCGGGTGATGTGGAGCCTCGTCGTGGGACGGCAAATGCTAACGGCTAAAGTTGGGATGGAATTAACTGGCACGTGTGGATAATCTGGAGCGTAAGTGTTTCAGTCGCGTGTCTTTAACAAATTACACGTAAATTAGGGAACTTACTAGTTTACTGGGGAAGTTGCAAGGCTCACCAGCCTAGAATCAACTTTATGATAAGCGTACAGAAAAAGTGGGAGACTAGTAGCATGGCAGAACTCCATTTTACTATCATAGGAGAGAACGGAACGGTATGCCTTGACAAGGTGCTAAATGCTAACTTCTCTACACTGATCGAAGGCTTTCAAGGTGAGCATGAGAGCGACATGTATGAAATGTGCCTGACACAGCGAAGTAACTTGAACTGGCGCTCAAGAGTAGTTGGTATTGAGACCTACAATTTGTACATGCTGGTAGGAAACTTTGTTTAAAAGCCTCAGCAGGTAAACGTGTTAACTTGAAATTCGAGGATTCGCGGAAAAGTTGCTGAAGGAGGTGTCCGAATCAAAACGAGGTACTAACAATTTATTTAGCCCATCCAAAAACGGGTCTCACATTTTTGGATTCAAAACTACAATTTCCAGCTAGTTTAAGCGCTTCTAAATCATGAAGGAGACTGGAAGATCAAAAGATGAAATAGATTTGATTTGACGTGGTAATTTGCATTAACCGGAGGGTAAATTGGTGGGTTCACTAAACAATTATGGCAGAAGCAAAAAAAGTGCAAAACAGGGGCACTAAGGGGTTACATGCTCATCGAACCCCCGTTCGATAGTTTATTTTAGAATGGAAGGTAAGGGAAACTATTATGTCCTAGGGAAATGGGTTGATGGCTTTGGGGATATGAAAGTAACTAACTCCACTGCTAGCTTCGAAGTGCATCACTAACTGCTATAAACTGGCCTGCCGATTTTATGACCGAGACCCTGGATCGTCTCGAGGGCACCGACCAAACGAGTGATGGACTTTAGAGCGGATGCCTCTATTGCCTGGCGTGTTGAGTAGTCAAAGGAGGTACGGTTAAGGGGTACGGCCCCGGCGACCAAAGAGCAGAGTCTGATAGGGAATGAGTCTGATTTTTTTCCGCCTCTGCACTAACTCTGTAGGGTTAATGCCACCTCTGATGGATGGATATGGGTCAATTAAGCAAGACGGAGCAAGAAAACGTCTCTATGGGATGTTTTGACGCTTTTTGAAAACCAAACAGGGAATCCTCAGTACGTATCAGTCCGGATGACATGTGAATAATTGATTAGGGGATTAAGTGATCCACTGACAAGCGTGAATATGCTAGGAAGTTCGCCTTGACAAATGGAGTTTAGATAAACAGAATCCCTGTTTCATTGAAAGCGATATGAAATGCAAGTGCAGCCAGGTAGCTTAGTTGTCAATGTACAGAGGAATCGGTGTGGAGATGGAACGGCGTGAAAGGAGGATGCATATCCAGCACCTTTCCACACCGGAAACGCTCAAACGAGTGTGGAAGGAGTAGGTGCTAAAAATGGCGCAAACAAGATGAAGGGAAGAGAACTACCGTATTCAATTGTAAAGCACTCCAACTCATTTATTTTCTCTCTAAAATCGGCTCAAACAGATTTGCGAATACACTTCAAGAGAATGAAATAGTAAATGAAGTGTTTTGCAAAAAATCAACTGACAACTCTAAGATGGAGTGAATGGATGGATTGTTGAAGGGCCTCCGTTCTTGACCAAGCCCTTTTGCATGGATGCAATCTAACTCCATGAATACGATCGCGGTGGGCACGATTTCGGGTTAGCATTGGTCCAATGCATTTAAGTAGTATATGCTATTCTTGTGAATTCTACTATTTCTAGATTTATAAAGCGCCCCGAGACTTCCTCAAAGACGAAAGAAGGCATAATACTTGGGACGAATAAGTACTGCCGACGTAGGGATGGGCTTGAAGCTAACGAGATGCCCAACAGGCTATGCAGTCCAGCGAAACCTTAAAGTGCCCACGAAACCAGAGCGAGGAGTTAAACAATAACCATCTTTGGGGATTATTCTGTAAACTAGGATGTGCTTAGGCTCGAAAGGACAAAGTGGTCTTCGAACCTCATGATTGAGCAGCTTAAGTGTACGTGGGAAAGGGCTAAAAATCGGCCACAAATGACAATCTTGAAGTTTGTTTCCTTCCACGTGACACGAAAAAAGCGTAAACTCCGTAAATTACCAACTCAAGAAGTAGGATGAAGACAATCTTCAACTAAACTGTGAACTAATCAACATCTTTGCATTGAGGGAACCACACAATCAGGTAGAATAGCTACAACACATTTTAGAGCATTACAGATAGCATTTTCGCTGCTTAAGCAGTTCAAACTGTATCTTTTTTTCTTGTTGATCAACCTATTTAAAAACAAATTTGTTTTTAAGCATCGGGACTAGCGAGGTAACTTTAAAAATGCTATCAGTATCATACTGATAAAGAAGGGCTGAACTGGGGGGAAGAGTCAGAACTGCACAAAACTAAAAAGGGTCTTGAAAATAAGTAAAGACGCCATAAAACCTGTCACATAAAGATGCTTTTCCATCAAAAAAAAAAACGAATTCATGTCTGCCTATACACAAATGACAAGAAATTCAAATGCGACGAGGTATTGTAGGGAACCATCAAAACATTCCCTTGTATTTTCCAGAATCTTTACAATTTTTATTACGAGTTAGAATTAGAGCAAGTGAATTCTAAATTTAATTTTAAAAGTGAAAAAGAAGAATGATCGGTTCCCTGAATTTCCACCAATAGGAGTAGGGCCGGGGATGTCGCTCGTCGACTATTGGCTACAATCGGCTGGTAAGGCTCCATCCGAAAGCGTAACCGGGTGATAAGCTTAAACGAGTTGACAACTAAATAATTTGAGAACGTTTAACAAGGATAATCGCTCTCGAAGGTGATTCATGAGAAAGGGTGACACAAAACCAAACCACCCACTACATATTATGCGAAAAAAATTGAGCGAGGCAGGCAAAGGAAAAGCCAACCACGTGATTGAGTGAGTGACGTCAGTCCTTGAGGAGGAAACTAACTCCCATCCCCTTTCGACCTTGTCAAGTTGTAAACTTTCTCCAGGCTTCGTAAACAAGAAAAATTCCCCCATCTAACCAACCCTCCCGTTTAAAAAGGTATGCAACCAGAGGTGGAAGGAAACACGGAATGCGTTAAAGTGTGTCTAACTGCACGTTATTTGCGGGCTGTGTTCCCGTTTGGGGAGGGAATAGGCCAATAGTACTGACATTGCCTATTACGAATTAAAGGAGGGCTTGGGAAGCTAAGGCACATCCCGAGTGGATTGTAGGAGGTTATTAAAGTCCATCAGGCCAAATCCTGTGTGCCTGTTTGTAAATACAA